TTTTTTTTTTACAACAAGATGCACAAACCAAATGTCAAATCCTTGCTAAATAGGCATGAAATGACCATATTTTCGCCACCCAAGGCAGTCCCTGAATGGTAATTAATGGTAGTTAACGGCAATTAACGGTAGTGAAAGTAAGGGCTAAATTACTTTCGATTGGAGAGTTCAGGGGTTTATATGTATCAATTAAAGTCCAGAAACTTAATAGTGATTTTGAGGTTAGTTCAGGGACTTATAATTTTACCTAAATTGGGAATGTTAACCACCCGCTAAAATAAAGGTTTACAATGAAACTATTTACAAATTGTGGGACCTAAACATAAAAATAGATAGTTAAAATGGTCAAACTTTATTAATTGATTCAACTATAAAAGTTTAGGAAGAAATTCATAGGTTATTGTTAATAATTTAAATAATTTAATAATAATTTTTTGTTAATTAAATCTCGCAATTCATAATTACCTAAATGTGCCTTTGCCCATTCAAACTTGTTCTCTATAGGTCCATCGGCAAGAATATCCATCCAATGATAGAATCTCATTATCGGATACTAACGTTTAATATTTTAGTTAAAAAATTTATTTATATATTAATATTATTATTTAATTAATATTTTTATTTAAAAATTAATAAAATTAATATTTTTAAATTAAAAAAATCACAAATTGACATTTTTATTTACCTCTTTTATCTTGAAACCTTTACATATGGCTTCACGTGTTTGTGTTTTCATTGGTTCTTTATAATTGGTTTTCCCAATGCATTATTGTGGAGTGGATGTCATAATTAGGGGTGGGCATTGGTTCGGTTTTGTTGGAATCAAACTCGAATTAGCGATTTTAATCGGTTGAATATTTTGTGAGATAGTAACAAAAAACTGAACCGAATAACATTCGATTATTTGGTTTGGGCACCCAATTTGTCGATTCAATTAACATCAATTTCGATTTTAACTAATTCTAACCTTGGTTACTATTTTGGGTTTGGGTCTTCAATTTTGTGGCCCAAATATCCAACAAATGCATTGTGACCCATTTCCTTTAATTTAGTGATCCAAATTATTTGGACCATTTATAATTCATTTTCTTTAATTTTATGATCCAAATTATTTGGATCAAATATCCAAGCTGCAAAGCCAATAAATCATCTCATTTCACGAGTCCAAAAAAGGCATCAAAAGTTGTTCAACTTTATCCTAATTCTAGCAACACATTACTCATCAAAGAGGATTTATCCTGACCTCAAGGCTATCAATAGATAATACCAGAATTCTAAACCATGCAAAATTAAAGAAGATTCATTTTAAAATCTAAGCAAGACTTTTCCATTAAAAGAAAAAATTTTAAACAAGACTTTAGAAATCAAAAAGACAATTTTATCTATGAGAAAAGGAGGTGGTAGGTCTGATACATACAAAAATGAATAAAAAAATTCTAAAATTTCAAACATAAACCATAAACTTTCAAGCCATTTTTTGAACCATTTCACTTTTGCATTCAAATAGCAATAAAATATCATAGCATGAATTATTGAGAATTGAGAAAGACTGTAAAATGCCATACAACTATACAAGAAACACTCTCAAAAGAGGAACAAAAAAATTAATAGCAATAAAATATACTTAGAACTTAGCAAATTCAAAACCAGTTTACCTCAAGCAATAAAGGCAATGAAACAGTAGTTAAACATTTAATTAGGCCATATGCTTTGATAATACCCTACTCATAAGATTGACATTGCCTTTTAGCAGACTTATTTTTTCAGGTTAGCAACCATAAAGAAAACAGAACCCTTTTTTACATGTTGAACAAAATTTGGACCTAAAGAACAATTGTTGCAACTACTTTCGTTGGTGATGCTGATACAACATTGCATAGTGCATCAACGACCTATCTCCATAAAAAAAAATAGTGCACTCAATATAAACATTCACTTCTAATAGAATATGAAAACTAATCACATAATATCCAAAAATAAAACATAGAACAATAAAAAATTGATTTACCTATCCAAACTTGAAACAAAACTCAATCAATCAATCCAAGAGAAACAAGAAAACAATGCACTCAACATAAACATATTCACTTCCAACAGAACATGAAAACTAATCACATAATATTAAAAAATAAAACATAAAACAATAGAAAACCAATTTACCTATAAAAACTTGAACTGTCCAAAAAAAATCCAGTTTGTCTAAAAGAAGCCTACCTATCCACAAGAAACCTATTTGTCCAAAAGAAAACTTGTCTAGCTAACACCACATGACGAAAAAACGCGTTATACACAATATAGGCCATAGTCTACATTTAGTTTTAAGTTAACAAAAAAATGCATATACACTTGTATCTAGGACAATTAACAAAAATAAAAATTAGTTTGTTGAAATTATAAATAAATAAAAGAAATAACTGAAAAAACTTACCTCAATGCTAACTTAATTACTTAATTGCATTAAATTAGCATAGTTTAAAATTGTTTAGAATTTTACCTTGTATCTTACCATTTATAAATCCACCATTCATTCAAGAATGGTGGAATCTAAATGAAGCTTGCCAAACTCTGTCAAATCAATTAAAATAAAAAAAAAGTTTCATGGTTAAAATTTTCTCAATTGCATAATTAAATAATTGAATTGAAAAGAAACATTTTGCATACAATATATTACCTTTATCTAAACTGTCCAATTTATCCAAATCCTCCTCCTCCATATTAGAAATAGCCTTATCTCTTAACCAATCTTGTGCATAAATGAGAGCTTGTGCCATTTTTGGTATCAATGATGATTGAAAAGCATCGAGGACTCAACCTCCAATATTGAATGCTGATTCAGAAGCAACAGTAGATATTGGAACTACCAAGACATCTCTTGCCATGGTTGCTACGACTAGAAATCTATGCTCATTCATCTTCCACCACTGAAGAACATCAATATCTTCATTCTCATCCTCGAGATCTTCTACCAAGGACTTCTCCAGCTCTGTTTTTTTTGCTCTTCTACCATTAGCAGCTTTAAACTTCTTATGATCAGACCTCACTTGGGATGTTTGCACTCTATTTTTGGGATCTACCACACTTTAGGTGTTGATTGCAGAGGTAGAGTTGCTTCCTTCTTTATCGAATGATTGACAGTCACTTGATTTCACGGTAAAGGAATTCAACCTCTTGTATTCTTCAAACAACATTCCCATCTCATCTCACGTTTGACCATGGCAACATAAAGAGGCCCATCATCATTAGGTTCACCATTAGGTTTACGACCATACATCTTTAATATTAAATACTCCAAATAATCCATCTTATGCATTGGATCTAACACCATTGCAAAGAAAATGTTTTTGTTCATCTCCCTGGGATTCACCCAATACCTTTTATACTTTTTTCTCATTCTGCCAGTAAGATCATAAAGATCCACATCTTGTTCCCATTTTTAAATATATGATCAACCTATAAGTAAAATAATTTAGTAAGATCTATAACATATTATTTAATTGAAATGAAGTATGACTTATAAACAAAAATATATTACCTCACTAAATTCAGGAAAATATAAATTGCTTGTAGTATACAAGGTTCCAGAGACCTTCCTCATCAATTCATAAAAATGATATAGAAATTTTATTAATCTTCTTACATTTTCCCAATCTATGCAAGAAAGGAATCTAAGAGCAACGAGGCCATCATTCAACTCATTCTTCATGTTTGGGTTTTGTCTTGCATATCTTAAAAAAAAATGGCAATCATTAGATAAATAGTTAAGATTTCTAACTTAAAACTATTAAAAACAGAAAATACAAATAAAATAAAATAAGACTGACCTCTCAAAAGCTTCCTCAAACCTCTTAGTAGTGTCCAGCATCAAATAAAGTGAATTGCACCTTGTTTGGATGTCCAAACACAACAACTTTTTGGATTCAATTTTTGCCCACTCACAAGCCTCTTTAAATCTCTTTAACCTCATAGGACTTTGCCTAACATATTTGACTTGCCCTAATGGCAGTCACAGACTTGTTCATCTCTTTCTCTTTGGTACCCTCACCAACAACCAAGTTTATGATGTGGGCTGCACATCTCATCTAAATGTCTTTCCCACCAAGAATAGCAGTTCCCCATTTGTTCACTGCATCTTTTAAAATCGCAAGTCCATCATTTGTTGATGCATTATCAACAGTTAATGCATAAATTTTCTCTAACCCCCAATCTTTTAAACATCTAACAAGAAGATCTCCCAACTCATCTTCTTTATGGCTATCAACAGAACAAAAACAAAGTATTTTCTTATGCAACTTCCACTTAGCATCA